TATTGATGTGATGAATTAGATTTATTGATTTCTGTATGTTGAACCAACTTTACATCCCTAGGATAAACCCCACATGATCTTAGTGCACTATCTTTTTAATATGTTTTTTATACATTTGCCAGAGTTTTACTGAGAATTTTTGCATCTATGTTCATTAGAGATATTGGTTTGAAGCTTTCTTTCTCTGCAGTGTCTTTGTCTGGTTTTGGAATCAGGGTGATATTGGCCTCATAGAATGGGTTTGGAAGTGTTCCCTCTTTTTGTTTTCATGGAATAATTTGAGGAGTATTGGTATTAGTTCTTCTTTGAAGGCCTTCTAGAACTCAGCTGAGAATGCATCTGTAGCTCACTCACCCCCTTTCTTTCTACTTCCCAATCAGGAACCTCTTTCTCTGGAGGACTTTGGGACTGAGCTCTGGGGCTTGTGCACCTATTACAGAAAGCTTTTTTGTATGGGGCTTTTCAGGACCAGTCTTTATGAGCTCTGGACCAGCCATGTAATTGCAAGCACTGTGCTGGTTTAGTGGCTGCAGAGGCGGGGGGAATTGGGGGACTATAAATACCTTGATATTGCTTCTAGGCACCAGCCGGTGTCCCAAGATGTAAGTTGCTCCAACTAAAGATGGTGATTGATAACCCAAGTCGGTGACAAAAGTGTCCCAAGATCGAGGCAGATGCTTTCATAGATAGGGTGTTGGGTTGAGACAGGTGGTGGCATTGTTTGCTGTGTTTGGAGATGCAGCTCTATTATGTGCAGTATTGTGGCTGGTGGCTGTCTCCAGACCCTGTCCAATGTCCCCAGGTACAGGTGACTATGGCAGTGTTTGCAGTATTCCAAGATGGAGGTGACCAGAGGGAGCCCCATGGTGGTAGATGGGGATCCACACAGGGTCCTGCACAGGAGCAGCTGTTGGGGTTGCTTTAATAACTTGTAGAGAAACAGTATTCCCACTGCTTGAGTTCTAGGTCATGGAGTGACAGGAAATGCAGCCTCCCTCTAGCCCACCCTTTTGAATCCTCCCTAAAATCACTTTAGAGCAAAGTCATATACAACTCAACCTTTTGAAAAGCCAAAAACTTGTCAATAATGTTATCCATAATTCCTCTAATCCAGGAATAAATTTGTAGTAAAGTTCTGGAAAAACTTGAAAAATTAATTACTAAATGTAGTAAAATTGCCATAAGCAGTATGTAGTGCTGAAAGGGGGAAGAAGAAAAAAATGTGCAAAAGAAAGAGAAAAGGTAAGATAGAAAAGAATAATACACACCAAGGTAAAAAGAAAAAAAAAGATTGATGTGAGAGGGGGATATTTGAAGACTTGAGACAGTAACAGGTAATAAGAGGAAAAAGAGAGGTTAAGAGGAGCAATTGAAAAACCTGAGTTAGGAAAACAAAGAATTATTCCAATTAATACTTTAAGACATTAGAAAAATACAATTCAAATTGATGTGGGAGCTATTTATAGTAAATCATGGAACAAAAATTCTTGTTGACTCTTGGTTTGGATTTCATCAGGATTTGGGACCTTTAGAAGATATTTGTCATTCTTTGGCTTCATATCTCCCCAGAGGTTCTGGGCTACAGAAACCACTCCCCTATCGAACATCTCATGAGATGGTTTTCATTTGTCAGCCCAGGGACATGAGCTTGGATGCTTGGAGGGTGTCGTGCTATGTCAGTTCACTGTTTCTATCGTATACAGGAGCTCAGAATGTAGGGTTTTGGACTATTGTTATGACCAAAATGGATCATTTCACACTGTCAGTCCTCTTCAAAGTGGCATAGAGCCCGAGACTGTCTTCAAGCACAGGACCTGTGGTCATGGGTTCTCTGTGTGCTGTCTGTGTTGCAGAAGCATCCCTCTTGACTAACATCGGTGTCTGTCCTAACATCCACTGCCCAAGGTTGTGAACCATAGGTGCTTCTTTCTTCCAGTGCCTGGGACAGAACAGCTGTCCTGCCTGTGTCCAAGCTTCAACTAGTTTTAGCCGTGAGTCACAGATGCTTTCTCCCTGCACTGCCAAGGACAAAGACTCAAGCCTGGTTCTGAGCTCTCATTTCCCACAACAGTGAATCTCAGGTGATCACTCCGTCTCTGTCTAGGCTCCCATAGAGGCGATAAAGAGTGATGCATTAGGCTAGTACTTCCAAGGGCAGGTCTAGCCCACTCCTCTTGTTCTTGGTGAGGGTGGGGGTGGGGGTGGTGTTTCAGCAGTTTTCAACTAGCAACATTCCCTCTACAAGATCCTTCTAGATAGATTATTGAGGTATTTCACAGTAGGGGTACTCCCTCTGGTTATATTTGTGGCTATCTGAAGGTGAAGAGATTCCTTTCATTTATTCTAGGCTGTCTGGCCACCTGTGGGCTCCACAAAAACAGCTGCCATGCCCAGAATGACTTTTTGTTCTCAATTTGTGTTAAACTACTCGGTCTCCTTCAGTGACTCAGCTGTTCCTGTTGTCTTTTCATTCGACCTGCTTTTCTTTCCAGCTGTTATTAAGGGAATGAGTGTATATGCTTTTCCTCTTCCTCTTTCTTTCTCTGTTGCCCATCTCCCCACTTCCTAACCTAGTCTGGGTTCAAGTTAAGGAGCTCTGTCCTTATTTTCTACTTTGATAACCAAACTTCAAGTCTCTGTAGGTCTCAGACTCTCCAATGTTGAGTCTTAGAGCATTTATTCTGTAACTCAGACCTTTGGTCAGCTGTTCCTCCTTTTGGTGCTGTGGAAGAGTCAGGATTTCTGCCTCATTCCTCTCCACTTCAATCTTCTCTTAATTTTATCAAAAATTTTAACACCAGTCTATAAGATCTCCCTGGAGCCCATTTATCAGAGAGGATCTCCACTGTGATTGTCTTTCCTTTAGCAGGTAGCAACTTGCTATTGATTTTTACCTGATGCTTGCCACCACGATGAAGGTTTTCTGTGGTCCTATTTAGCTCCAGTCTTATGTGTTTATATCTCAGATGTGAGTACTTATCAATCATATTAGTTTTCTCCATTGGGAGTTGGTTCTAATGGTCAAGGCCCAGTACAGTTTTCTAATCCTCCATCAGGGTTAGAGAAACTGGGGGATTTTTTTTTTAAATTAACAATGGGTCCTCATTTGTGTCCTGGGAATGATAGTTTCCTGCTCTCTGCCTGCATCTTAGTACTTTTGTCCTATAAGGGAGAAGGCTCTTACTATAAATTTTGCCTCTCCTGCAGAGCAGGCTCCTATCCTCTTCCTGGCTTGCATAAGAAGGAAAGTTTTCTCCAATTTTCCATCCTACCTTCAATCACTGTCATGAATACGAAGTGAGGTTCATAGGCGGTTTCTCACAGGTGGTTTCAAACTCTTTTTGTGTGTGTACACATTCGAGAAATTACTCTTTCATGTACACTCACATTTGGGCTTAATTTATACATTAAAATTTTATCTGATGTCTTCACACAACTTTGTATGGTGACTAATTTTCTGTGTTTTGCTCCTGGTGTGTCAGTGCTTTTATCCCATCTTCTTGGAAATCCCAGGCTGCATGTTTCCCTGAAATCTCTCCAAGGATCAAGTAAAGCTGTAATTTTGCTGATTATCTAATTTTTCCATATTCTTAAGTTTGTGGCACTTCAGATATTCTGGTGAAAGGCAGAATCCATAACATTATATTCGAATAAGTAGAAAATGTAAGTTTGAATAATGTTTCATTCATATTTTTTTCTTTTATAAATGCTGCCTTATATGAATTCTCTGGGGGGAAAAGAAAACTTTTGAAGTTGATGTAAACACTCCTACTTTGTTAGGTTTTCCCATCTTGACTAGGTAAACAGTGAAAGCATGTATTCTCATTGACTTATATGATAGGTGAAGATAACAACACATGAAATCACTTTTCATTTGCAAGATGAAGCATGCATTTTCATAACATTGCAGTCCCACACACATAATTACAGCATAACCATATTCAGAGAACATCAGAAAAATAGGATTTTAAGTTACTTTCTAAAGACCTAGTTGAAAAAACACCCTTACCCTCTCTCTCATACAAGGCCTGAAAAATCTTAAGGGCAAGTCAGAAGT